CCGCGCCGGCCTTCCAGGCCCCGCCTCCCCGGCGGACTCACGCGCGCCTCGCCTCGCCTTGCCTCGCCTCGCCTGGCGCGTTCCGCGCGCCAGGGAGGGGGGTCCAGCACCGATCCAAGAGCTCCGCGCGGAGCTCCGAAAGATTATGTTTCCGAAGTGTTTTGCTCCTCCACTCTTGGCGGCAGCTCTCTTGGAGGCTCGGCGAGTGGCCAGGCCCCCGACTGTACGGTTTTGCTACACCGCGGCGTTTTGGTTTCATCATGTCGGCCCCCAGGACGCAAAACCTAACCCTCAAGGAAGGGTTGGGAGGTCAGGGGCCGCGTCTTGAAAGCATCATACGGTGCGGGCGTTCCTTCTGGAATGTGCCCAGGCCGCTCCAGACCCTGGGAGATCCCTTGTCCGATGAGGGCGGCGGCGATGTCCATGGCTAGTCCACGATTGGAGTTCCACCGGCTTCCAGACCCTGGGTTCCTTGCCCAAGGGTTCCAGTCAGAAGGACAATAATCGGGTCGGAAGGATGGGTTTGGGAGAAACGATCCGATCCTGCGTAGTATCACGTATGCTGAATGTGCTCGTGACACAGCAGTGCCCCATATCTTCCCAACCCTCTTCCTCCCAACTCTCAGAATTGGGTTTCTTGTGTAAGGTTTCTTGTGGTCGGGCCCCCACTGTACGTTGGCGCGAACACACGTTCTGAGGATCATGGAGCGTTCGGAACCACCCGGGAGCAGGGGACGCGTGGCGCGTCCCTCCTCCTCCTCCTCCTCCTCCTCCTCCTCCTCCTCCTCCTCCCCCTCCTCCTCCCCCTCCTCCTCCTCCTCCTCCTCCTCCTCCTCCTCCTCCTCCTCCTCGGGTCGCCTACGGCCCCGGGGGAAACCGTACAGCGCGTGGCGCTCTGGGCGGCAGCTCGCTGGCAGGCCGTGGCGAAGCGTCCCGCGGTCTGGCTCACAGCGGAGGCCCAGGCTCCAGGCTGCCCTGGGTTTCCTTGGTTTCGATGGTTTTGCGATGGAGGAGGAGGAGGAGGAGGAGGAGGAGGAGGAGGAGGAGGAGGAGGAGGAGGAGGAGGAGGAGGCGGAGGAGGAGGAGGACGAGGACGAGGACGAGGAGGAGGAGGAGGAGGAGGAGGAGGAGGAGGAGGAGGAGGAGGAGGAGGAGGAGGAGGAGGTGGAGGAGGCCCACAGAACCACGGCCCTCGAGGAATCGACAGCAGTTTCTCCAGGATCTCCGCGCGGTTCTTCTCTCCGTGGCGAACCCACCGCGTTGCGCCCGCGCGTGCCCGACGCGCGGGATCGTTCAGTTTTCTTGTCCAATGCCGCACTTCGTGGCGCTACGGGGAGGCAGGAAGGAGGAGATGAGGGAGGCTCGGGGGGCCCCGTTCCTTTCGGCCCCCGCTCGCCGACGTCGCGCTGGGGGAGAGGACGGGGGCCCCGACCATGGCAGCGACGGTGACAGGAGCTAGCAGGCCTCTCATGAGCCTCACCAGGGCCCCGACGGAGCCTTCGTTTCCCCTGGGCCTGGTAGCAGTGGCGGTGACGGAGACCTGCGGGCCGAACCTGGTTGCGATGGCGGAGTCAGAAACCAGCGGGCCTCCCCTGGGCCTCGCCAAGGCTCAGAGGGAACGTCCATTTCCTTCATGCTTGCCGCGTTCCGCGGCACCCCTGAACCTGGCAGCAATGGCGGTGTGAGAGACCAGCGGGCCGAACCTAGTAGCTTCGCATCCGTTATCGCGGCATTCTGCTGCGCTCTCAGTTGTGACGTGTCGCAGGCTAGTGTCTGTTCACCAGGTGGCGTGCTCAGGGACACGGGGGGCCCTGGCGGCGTCAGAAACCAGCGGGCCGAACCTGGTAGAGATGGCGGAGTCAGAAACCAGCAGGCTTCCAGTGAGCCTCGCCAGGGCTCAGGGGGGGGCCCCGTTCGTCCCGTGTTTGCCGCTCTCAGCGGCCATCCTGGACAGAGCAACGACGGCGGTGTCGGAATCCAGAAGGCCCCTCCCAGTCCTTCATCGGCCCCCGAACGCACGCCTACTGCAGGCGATGCCGCCGCTGCTTGGGGCGTACCTGGTCAGAGCCTCGTCGCCGCGCTGAGGGCCCGCTACGAAGGGCCGCCGCCCAGAGGCGCGCGGGCCAACGCGTCTGGCAGTGGCACTTCTGGACCGCGATGAGGTGCTCTGCCTGGCAGGCCAGAATCGCGTGTCCAAAGCTGCGATGACACGCTGGCGCCAGAACGGGCTGGGAAACGTTCGCCACCGTCTGTCGTCCCCAGTACTGGATCCCCTGGCCCCTTGGGATCGAGTGCGGACCACGGGCGGCCAGGTCGACAGAAACCAGAGTGCTCAAGGTGACGCCGTACCTGGACAACCCTCGGTCTCGAGGAGGCGCCCCCAGTCCGCCTTGGAAACCAGGGGGTCCCGTCCCTCTCGTTGTCGCGACGATCGCACCTGGTGCCGCAGATCGCCCGGGAGAGCCCTCATCGCCGCGGCCGGGTAGCGGAACCCGCGGGCGGGAGCAGCAGGACGGGCGCCAGCAGCGCCATCGGGAACAGGACGACGGGTCCCCGCAGCGCGACCGCGAGCAGCAGGGAATACCTCAGCAGCAGCAGCAGCATCGTGAGCAGCACGACGGACCCCAGCAGCTTGACCGCGCGCAGCACGACGGGCTCCATCACCACGACCGCGAGCAGCCAGACGGGCTCCAGCATCGTGACCTCGGGCGGCCAGACGGACGCCGCTGGGCGGACCAAGCTGACGACGGCGACGCCGGGCCCGACGCGCCTGGACTCGACGCCCCACGACGGCGCCTGGGCCAGCGCGGACCCGCCGTGCGTCAATCCCCCGCCAGTTCCCGATGTGCCCCACTGTTCCCCCGCGACGACGGCCGTGGACGGTTCCGGCGCCGCGGGCAGCTTCAGCGCCGGCCCGCGGGGGGGAATGCTTCGGCCTGCGCGGCGCAGACTCCTGCTGCTTCTCGAGCGCACTCCGCCGCAATACCCCTGCCGTTGTCTCTGCTATGCTCCCGCCGCCATGCGGCTCAGTGCTGTGCCTGCTCTTCGGCGCGCCGCGGTACCTCTGCCGTTCGTGGTGTCCCACTGCGCCCGCCCGCCAACTCCAGCTGCTGGCGGCCGCCGTCCCGCCGCCCTTGCCACCGTGGTTCGCCGCGGCCGCCCACCTCGCTCTGGCCCTGCGCGCCTGGCCGCTGCTGCCCTCCCCGGCTGCTCATCGTCGAACTCTTCGACGTCTGAGCGTCCCTTCTTTCTCTCGGCCGCCCCTCCCCCTTGATTGCCCGCCGGCCAAAACGGTAGTTCGTGCCCCTTTCTAGCTTCTCCCTGGAGCGGAGTTCGCCGCCTCGCCGCTGGCGAACTAAAAAGGGTGTATGTGTGGCGCGCATGTCATGGCCGAGATCCTTGCTCTTCTTCTAAGGGGCCGACCGCGCGCGCGCTTTCTCGCTGGGGGACTTTGTCCGCCGCGTCGCTGCGCGCGAGGCCGCGACCGCCAAACAAAAAACGGATGTGCGAAGGACCTAACTATATGCAGTTGTGAGTACAGCGTTGTGGGTACCGCTTTCGGTGGAGCTCCCTTTCGACCGCGAAACGCGTGACGGGGTGTGCCGACATGGGCGCGGTGGTGCCGTACGAACGCAGCCACTGGGGCCTTCGGTGGAGGTCCTTGTGGGGCCACGAATCGTGTGAGGGGAGTGCCGACATTGTGCGGGGGGACGCATGCAAACCTTGCAACTGGGGCCTCTGCTATGGGGCCATGAATCGTGTGAGGGGTGTGCCGATATGGGGCGGGCGGCTGCATGCGCACATCGCCACTGAGCCCTTGGCGGGGTTCCCCATGGGGTCACGAAACGCGTGAAGGATGTGCCGTCATGGGTGGGGCGGACGCATGCGAACCCTGCAAGTGGGGCCTTCGGTGGAGCTCCCTATGGGGCCACGAAACGTGTGAATGGTGTGCCGAAAGGGTGCGGGGGACGCATGCCTATCAGTGTGGCTTCGGGAGATTTTTTTTTTAAGGGCCACGAAACGTGTGAGAGGTGTGCCGAAATGCTGTGGGGGACGCGTGCGAACCCTGCATGTGTACGGGGCCACGAAGCGCTTGATGGGGTGTGAACAAATGGTGCAAGGGGACGCATGCGAACCCTGTCATTAGAGCTTTCGGAGGATCTCCTTATGGGGCTGCGGAACGTATGCGAGGTGTGCCGACATGGTGCGGGGGGACGTACTCGAACCTTGCATTTGTGTTTTCCGGTGGAGTTCCCCAAGGGGCCACGAAGCGTGTAAGGGGAACGCCGGCATGGTGCGGGGGGACGCATGCGAGCCCAATCGTTGGGGTTTTCGGAAAAGTTTCCCAAGGGGGCCACGAAACGTGTGAGAGGTGCGCCGATATGGTACGGGGGACGCATGCGAACCCAACCGCTGAGGCCTTCGGAAGTGCTCCCTCCCTATGGGGCCATGAAGCGTGTCAAGGGTGTGCCAGAGTTGTGATGGGGGACGCATGCCAACCCTGCCACGTGGGCCTTCGGTGAACCTCCCTGTGGGGACATGAAACGTGTGAGGGGTGTGTTGGAATGATGCGGGGGGGCGCATGCGAACCCTGCCAGTGGAGCCTTTCAGTGGAGTTCCTTATGGGGCCACGAAACGATTGGGGTGTGTGTGCCGAGAAATGGTGCGCGGCGGCGCATGCGAACCCTGCCACTTGGGCTTTCGGAGGAGCTCACTATGGGGCTACGAAGCGCGTGAGAGGTGTGCCGAAATGACACGGGGGGGACGCATGCGAACCCTGCCACTGGGGCCGTCGGAAGAGCTACCTATCGGGCCACGAACGTGTGCGGGGTGCACCGAACTGGTAGAATGACGCGGAGAGCAAAAGTAAGGAGGGGGAGGGGGAGGAGGGGCAGGAGGAGGAAGAGGAGGGATGGAAGAACGCGGGGCGCTGCCTTTTCAAATCGAGGACCCTACGCCACAGGCTGGTTGTGGAAACGTTTGTGTATGTATATGTGTGTGCTTACGTATGCGTGTGCGTGTGCGTGTCATGCGTCTCAAGAGCTGCTGGCCAAGGATACCAGCTTTGCGTGCTTAGAGCCAGTCGGCCCATCCTTCCATTGTGCGTTTCCATGTTTGCTGGGCGCTTGTGGCTGCTTCTCTCCTGGAGGCCTCCGCCAGCTGCCGGCCCCCAGGGGGTGAATCGGACAGATGTCCGGGGGTTCTTTTGGGAGCCTCGGGGAGGGCAAAGTGCACAGGAGGAGAACGAGGAACCCACACGAGGACACGATGATGCGGGGAGTGAGAAGTCGCAGGAAGAGGGAGAGGAGCAGGAGGAGGAGTCTCCCCACTCGAGGGCAGGAGGGGCGCCGCGCGAAGCCGACGAGCCCAAGGACTTCCGGCCTCTCCGGCTTGGAGGCCCCGCAGATGCGCTGCGTTCAGCGTTCTGCAGACTGCGAGGAAGACGCGTCGTCGCAAACGACGCTCAGCTCGGGGAGATCGTGTAAGACAAGTCCCCCAGACACCTCCACCACTGGAAATTCACGCAAGGCCGAGGCCCCAGCAACGGAGCGCAGGAGCCAGACCATGGAGATCGGGGAAGGCTGATCCCGCGTAGACCTCTCTGGCTCGGGATTTTTGAGCGAGGCCCAAGCCCCACAATCACAGCGCACTGCCGTGTTCAGCACTGCATACACGTATCCAACAAATTTGTAAACAGCAAAAACAGCAGGGCCCCATGCGCTGTGCACGGACTCTGGATGATAACCATAATGCAAATGAAACAAGGTTGGCGCTACGCTCACCGCCATCTAGCCTGGGAGCCCCTCACTTGGCCAACGGCTCCACGAACGTAGAGTCCAGCCCGATGGCTCAGGTCCACGGTGTGGAAGATGGGCAGGATGTGCCCGTTGTCGACCAGGGTGTGACGCACCATATGAAGCCCAGTGGGCGCATCTCCTTGTCGTGCCAGGCCAACGGCTCAACGAACGTAGAGCCGAGCCCGATGCCTTCCGTCAGATCCACGCATTGGAATATGGGCAGGATGGGCCCGTTGTCGACCAGGGTGTGGTGCGCCATGCCGCCAAAGGCCAGCAATGCCAGCCTCCCTCTGTTCGGCTGCTGCAGCTTCGTGTCGAAGACCTCTTTTTCGATCTTGCCTTCCAGGAAGCCGCTTCCTTATTTGAAATCACAAGGCACCCTGATTGCCTCGCAGTCAGTTGCTCGAGCCTATCGAGCAGCGTCGCCTTCCCGACGTAGGTTTGGCGCCCGATTTGACCACAGAAAGTGTCCCCGATGGCGCTGCCGCCGAATGCCTGCATGGCCAGACGGCCGTCCAACGGCTCCGCTCGCGCCGACTCGCACTGGCCCTCTGGGTACCAGGTGCCGATGCCGACATCGCCATGCCTTGTGGCACGGCCTTCCGCACATGCTCGCCGCCCCCACGGCGCGGCGCCACTCGCGCCGCCGCCGGGCCGCTGCCGCAAAGTGGGCCCGCGTCAACCTGGAAGCGTGCCGCAGGGGTCGTGAGAGGCAGGGAAGCTCCCCTGCGTTTGACCTCGCGCCCATGCTGCGGGGCCCTCGCTCCCTTTGGAACCCCGTGGGCTCTAAGGAGGGCTTGGGCCAAAACGGCTACGGAGGAGGAGGAGGAGGAGGAGGAGGAGGAGGAGGAGGAGGAGGAGGAGGAGGAGGAGGAGGAGGAGGAGCAGCAAGAGGAGGAGGAGCAAGGAGGGGAGGAGGAGGAGGAGGAGGAGGAGGAGGAGGAGGAGAGGAGGAGGAGGAGGAGACGGAGGAGGAGGAGGAGGAGGAGGAGGAGGAGGAGGAGGAGGAGGAGGAGGAGGAGGAGGAGGAGGGGAGGAGGAGGAGGAGGAGGAGGGGAGGAGGAGGAGGGGAGGAGGAGGAGGAGGAGGAGGAGGAGGAGGAGGAGGAGGAGGAGGAGTTAGAGGAGTTAGAGGAGGAGTTAATGTAGGTGTGGGATATGGTGGTAAGTTGTGCTTCCGCCCCAGATCCGGACACCCAGATGTCTCTACCTCTCCTCTCCTGAGTTTCGCTGCCGCTCCCAATTTTCGTCCTTCCCACTCCTTCTCCTCGCTACGCCTTCTCCTCATCCTCAGTGTTGGTGCTGCTCCTCATCATCGCTCCGTCTCGTTTTTCCCCCAGACCCCTCCTTGCCATCCCCTCCCCTCCTTCTCCCCCCCTGCCGTGAGGGGCATTTTGTGCCATATCGGATTGGGGGGGGCCCGGGAAGTGCGCTGGAGAGTTCCCCCCTCCCCCCCTCCTCCGCCCTCACTCGGTGCGGCGGGGTCGTTACCAGACGGGATTTGGGGCCACCCGTCGGAGGGAGCCAGCTGTATCTGGCTGGCCAGGCCGATCCTGGGCCCAGGGTTGGCGCGTATGCGTTCCTGCCCCAGTCGGGAGGGCGTGTGCGCCCGTCCTGGGCCCTGGATCAGCTGGACCAGGGTCGTGCAGGAGGTGTGCACCGGGTGCTGCCAGAGGTTTCTCTGGCCCATGGCACCCCGAGGATTTCCAAGGAGGCCCCCAGGGCCTCCAGAGCGCCCCTGACGAGGCCCAGAGGGCTCCAGGGACTCCCAGATCGAGCGGAAAGCTGGGGGGCACTTTGAGCCGTGGGGCACCTGTAGCAACCCCCGAGTACAGTCGACGTCCGCCCAGCAAGGGAGGGGGTGACAGCGGGAGGGGCACAGCTAAGCACCTCGCTCGCGCGCCTCGGTCCCCCCAGCAAGTGGGGGGGCGGCACATCGGCTCCCGCGGGCGTCCTCCTCGCCGCCGCCGCAGTGGACCAGCACGGCGGTCTGGGCTCTGGCGTGGAGCTTGCCGTGGACGCCACAGGCGATGCCTTTCCGCTTCGCCGTGGCACCGCAGCGAGGCGACAGCTCATGCGCAGGTCCGAGGCGGGACTCATCCATAGCCACCGCCTGGGGGACCGATCTTCGGGGACCACGGCAGGCGGTGGGTGTGGATATATTCGGGTCCCAGGGGGGCATCCTCCTCCTCCTCCTCCGCCTCCTCCTCCTCCTCCTCCTCCTCCTCCTGTATCCATGTCCACCTCCTGCCGGGTCCCGAAGATCGATGCCCCGGGGGGTGTCATGCATAGATCCCTGCCCCGCGGCAGGGGCGGCGGCACCGGTGCCGGCGCAGTCGAGCGCGCAGGCGGCGCGGGATCCAGCCCAGGCCGCGCCATCGGCAGCACGGCGGAGGAGCAGCCCGGTGGCGAAGTGTGCGAGAATTATGCTCGCGTCGCTATGAACATTTCCAGTGTGTCCTCAGGGGAAGGTTTCGCCTGCAGCATCCACAGGCCCGACGGCGTTGCGTGTTGCTTCGGGAGGGCCCGTCGGAACTGGCGCTGGCTTGGCCCCTCGGGCCTGGGGCCCGTGTTGGCTGTCTCCGCGGGGAAGGGACACGTGTGCGCCATCGCCCGAGCCGGCCATTTGCTACACTGCTGGGGGCCCTGGCGGCGCTTCCTCGGCCAGACGAATGTCCCCAAGGACCTGGGTCCTGTGGAGGCGGTCTCCGCAGGGGTAAAGCACACGTGTGCCATCGCCCGAGCAAGCCGAGCGCTGCGCTGCTGGGGGCTGCGGCACCCGACTGTCCCAGCGGGCCTTGGGCCCGTCGAGGCCGTCGCCGCGGGGGACGGCGGCACCTGCGCGATCGCCCAGGCGACGGGCTCGCTGCACTGCTGGGGGCACGTGGCGGCCGTCCCCGCGGGCCTCGGGCCCGTGGCGGCCGTCTCCGTGGGGGCGGCCCACACCTGTGCGATCGTCAGGGCCGACCGATCGCTGCGCTGCTGGCTGCTGCCGGGGACGGCGCTCACCGCTGGGCAGAAGGGGGCGGCGGCGGTGCCCGAGGCCCTGGGGCCCGTGGAGGCCGTGGTCGCGGGGTGTGACCACACCTGTGCGATCACACGGGTCGGCCGGCGCTTGCGCTGCTGGGGGGGGCAGGCTGCTGAACACTTCAAGCCCCTGGGGCCCGTCGAGGCCGTCTCCGTGGGGTGTTTCCACACCTGTGTTGTCCTCACGTCTGGCAGGCTCCAGTGCGGGCCGAATCATGCGGTCACGAGCCCGCTTATGGAGATGGAGACCACTTACCTGCGTGATCTGAAAGCGCAGGTGGGCGACTGGTGAGAACGGGGTCGACTGCGCAGGCAGTCGCGCGTACTAAGCATCCCGAGTAAGGCCGTGAGTAGGCGTCCTCTCCTCCACGCGGTGTGCCGTGCTATCGGCCCGCGTAAGCCGCGACGTAAGATCTCTATGCTCTATGTCTTCTCGCGTAAGACACGTTTCTTTTCGTCGCTCAGGTGGAGAAGGAGAGGTCGGCGGCAGAGGAGGGGCAGAGGCGGGCGGAACAGTCAAGGCGGGTCGTGCAGCGAGAGAAGCGCGCTGCAGAGGATCGGGGAGGACAACAGCTGCACACGCATACGTACCATTGCTGGAGCTCCGCGCGGGTTTCTTGGATCGGTGCTGGGCCCCCCCTTGCGGCGCCTTTGGCGCCGCTCCCTGGGCGCGCTCGTCGCGCCAGGGACGGGCCGAGCGCCGAGCCAAGACTCCGCGCGGACCTTTGAGAGTTCACGTCAAGTCGGGCCTATCCCTCTGCAGGAGGAGTATTCAAACACAGCCAGACAGTACGCAGAGGAAGGTTTTTTTTGACTATTGCGGATCATGTTTGGAGTATTCTTTGCGTATTTTTTTTTTATTTTTCGCCCAGAATCCCCCTGTAGGGGGACAGGCCCGACCTAAAGTTAATGGTTATGCCATATATGGTTCCTCTGGAGGAGGAAAAGGCGGAGGCAGAGGAGGGGCAGAGGCGGGCGGAACAGTCAAGGCGGGTCGTGCAGCGAGAGAAGCGCGCTGCAGAGGATCGGGGAGGACAACAGCTGCACACGCATACGTACCATTGCTGGAGCTCCGCGCGGGTTTCTTGGATCGGTGCTGGGCCCCCCCTTGCGGCGCCTTTGGCGCCGCTCCCTGGGCGCGCTCGTCGCGCCAGGGACGGGCCGAGCGCCGAGCCAAGACTCCGCGCGGACCTTTGAGAGTTCACGTCAAGTCGGGCCTATCCCTCTGCAGGAGGAGTATTCAAACACAGCCAGACAGTACGCAGAGGAAGGTTTTTTTTGACTATTGCGGATCATGTTTGGAGTATTCTTTGCGTATTTTTTTTTTTTTTTTTTTTTTTTTTGTTTTTTTTTTTTTTTTTTTTTTTTTTTTTTTTTATATTTTTCGCCCAGAATCCCCCTGTAGGGGGACAGGCCCGACCTAAAGTTAATGGTTATGCCATATATGGTTCCTCTGGAGGAGGAAAAGGCGGAGGCAGAGAAGGAGATGGCCATGGTAATGACGGAGCAGAGCTGTTCCAAGATGCTGACAAGGCAGGTGATTACCGAGATCTCGTGCAAAGGCCGGACACGAGATGAGGGGGGCAGGGGGAGGGGGGAAGGCTTCTTACAAGCACCCCTGCTTCTCGGAAGGCGCGGCCTCCCCTACCCCTACCCCCTTGGGCGCGCCGCCAGCGATAAGTGGCACAGGAATATTGGGTCCAGGCTTGCGGTCGAGTCTTTTGTTGCTCGGCGCTGGCAGGGTCCGCACGCGCCCCCCAACAATTGCCGCCACGTCGCTCGCACGTCTCGCGGCCCCCGTCTGCACGTCCCGTGCCCCATCCTGTGCGCACTGCTCACCACCCACCAAACCACCCCAACTCAACCCGAAGGCTCAGATTTACCCTCGATTTCCAGTGTGTGGGGGGGGGGGTCGGGGAACATCGAAAAAACACATGTGGAACCCTTACCCCCCCCAACCCGAAATTCGCGTCTTCGGGTTGGGTTGGGGTGGTCTGGTAGGTAGTCAACTGCCAACAAGGTGCAGCGGGAGGGACCTCGTACAGCGTGGACGTCCCCGACGGCTTCATGCTCCGCGGTTCCCCCGTGCAGGCGTACCGCTGCACCAACCGAGGGGCGTGCCTCGCCGGGGGCAGCCTGCCCCGCCGCTGGGTCGGGAGCAAGGCTCGGGGGAGGCAACGGCCTCCGAGGCCCGAAAACCATCACTTCACTAATTTTGGGCCCCAGGGCCCACTGAGGCCCCAGGGGCCCCAGATTCGTGAAGTGATGTTTTTTCCCACGTAGGGACCCCGAAATTCATCACTTCACGAAACCGAGCCCAGGACGAAAGTCAGGGGCCGAGTTGCTGCTGTGATGCCACATCGGCCTCGTAAACGGGGGAGAGGATTCGGCGTCACCCCAACATGCTAGTGCGCCGTCCCCCCAGGGGCGACGCGCGCGCCGAGAAATCTTATAGTATGGGCTCCGTGGCGGGCGCCTTCTGCTCACACCGCTCGGGAAACGGTCTACCACAAGAGGGTTCTACTGTATGTTCGGGTCGGACGCACGCCTCCGAGAAGGACACATAGCACTAGTATGTCCTCGTGCGTCTCAAGGATACCCCTGGGGGATGGACAATGGGCATTGCACGCATTCGCCTGGAAGGGTCGTCGTCGTCGTCGTCGTCGTCGTCGTCGTCGTCGTCGTCGTCGTCGTCGTCGTCGTCGTCGTCGTCGTCGTCGTCGTCGTCGTCGTCGGAGGAGGAGGAGGAGGAGGAGGAGGAGGAGGAGGAGGAGGAGGAGGAGGAGGGGGGGAAGGGGGAGGAGGAAGGGGGAGGAGGGGGAGGAGGGAGGAGGAGGAGGAGGAGGAGGGAGGAGGAGGAGGAGGAGGAGGAGGAGGAGGAGGGAGGAGGAGGAGGAGGGGGAAGGAGGAAGGGGGAGGAGGGGGAGGAGGAGGATGAGAGGAGGAGGAGAGGAGGAGGAAGGAGGAGGAGGAGGAGGAGGAGGAGGAGGAGGAAGAGGAGGAGGAGGAGGAGCAGGAGGGTCTCAGGGTTGGGTGTCTGTTGGAAGGCTTCTTGTGGACTGGCCTCCACTGTAAGAGTGATCTTTCGCCGGAGTGACCTCTGGTGCGGGGCTCACGGGGGTGGCCCCAGGACCAGCCCGCGCACCTGGACCCGGGCCCTCCACGGACCCCTGAAGCCGCGCACCAAAGGTCACTCTTGCCTAGGGTTCAGTCGGGCGTGTCCCTCTACGTGTCCAAAAATAGTCAAAAATAGTCTGGGGACTATTTTTTAGTGTTTTTGACCGTTTTTGAATATTTTTTGAATATTTTTTGTTTTTCGTCGAAAATCCCCCTGTAGGGGGACACGCCCGACTTACGCCTGGGGTCACTCTTGCGTGTCGTCGATCTGGCACTTGCCGAAAGGAGGGTACGGGCACCTGCCCGCTCGTCCCGAGCTTGCCTACGCCGCTCGCGCTGGCCATGTGCGCCGAGGGCTACGACCCGCAGAGCCCGGGCTGCAGCCGCTGCCGCGAGGGCCACGGCCGCGCGAGCACGGACCCGTTCGTGTGCAAGGCCTCGAGCAACAAAAACAGTGCATGAGCATGACTTCTCGGAGCTCCGCGCGGAAAAGGTACCAATGCTGCTGCCCTTCCCTGGCCTTCGCCTGTTTGGGCATCCTGGGAGGCCCTCGTCGCCACGGCTGGATTCTCCCCGGAATGATGGGCGGGACGCACCCTGGGAAAGGTCCATGGAGTGGCGGTACTCCAAATTCCTCATTCATCGTCCCCCGGGTCCGGTTTTTTAAGCCGCCTTTTTTGGAACTGGGGGGGTTCGGTTTATTAGGGCGCTTTCTTTGGATTGGAGCTTAGGGGGTCCGGTTTATGGAGGCGCCCCGTCGAAGAGGGGGGTCCGGAATATCGGGTCGCATTTGGAGGAAGTTCCGGTCTTTTGGGGGGGTCGATGAAGAAGGGATTTGGGAGTACCGGTCTTTTCTAGTTTTCGGAAGGCCTGCGGCCCGCTGGCCCTGCAGCTGCTGGGCTTCGCGGTCGTCCCGCTGTCCCTCTTCCTGGTCTCCATGCGCGGGGCTCTGGCCCGGCCCTCAGGGGGGGGGGGTCGGACGGGGCCAGGGCGAGGCCTCCTCCTCCTCCTCCTCCTCCTCCTCCTCCCTCCTCCTCCCTCCTCCCTCCTCCCTTCTCTCTCCTCTCTCCTCCTCCTCCTCCTCCTCCTCCTCTTCCTCCTCCTCCTCCTCCTCTCCTCCCTCCTCCTCCTCCTCCTCCTCCTCCTCCTCCTCCTCCTCCTCCTCCTCCTCCTCCTCCCCTTCCTTCTCCTCCTCGTCCTCCTCCTCCTCCTTTCTCTCCTCGTCCTCCTCGTCCGTCGTCGTCGTCCTCCTCCTCCTCCTCCACCTCCTCCTCCTCCTCCTCCTCCTCCTCTCCTCCTCCTCCTCCTCCTCCTCCCCTTCCTTCCTCCTCCTCCTCCTCCTCCTCCTCCTCCTCCTCCTCCTCCTCCTCCTCCACCTCCTCCTCCTCCTCCTCTTCCTCCTCCTCCTCCTCCTTCTCCGTTCCAGAGCGTGCCGCAACGCTCTCAGAGCGTTCCGGATCGCTCTGAGCAGGCCGCGTCGCCTGAGACATCCTCCAGAGCCTCCGGATCTCAGAGCTGCTCGATGTATCTCAAGGGAGGAAAAGCCGCCGGGACCCGATAATGTTAAGGCCCAGTGAAGCGACCACCCCCCCCCCTGTAAGTTTCGTTCAGTGCGTCGCCCGAGCGTCGCCCGTGCGCCGGCCCTGGTTTGCGTCTCTGTCCCGAATCCCGGCCTCCCAGGGTGCGTGGGCGACATATGGCGCGACTTCGGAATTTCTCTGGCGATATATAGGTTTCCGACGCCGGTGCACCAGCAGCCATTTTGGCGGTCGCGGCACACTCCTAGTTCGACTGTCCACCAACGCGTTCTGTTCCCAATTCGGCGCAAGAGGATTTGTTGGTGCTCATTGTCGGGGGCGCCAACCGTTGCTGAGGACGAAGACGCCTCGCGTTGATTGGGGGCTGTGCGCGTCGCGCCACGGTGGGGGCGACGTCACGTCGCGCGACGCGGCGCCTTTTCGCCCCGTCGCATCGCGCCCCGCACCCCCATGTCGTTTCGCGCCAATCCTCCTGCCCCCCCCCTCTTCCTTTCTTTTCCCCTCGTCCAACGCGCTGCGCGTTTTGTCCCGTTTGCGAAATTTGTATTCAGTTCTTTTGTGTCAGGCTGCCGTCCTGTCCGCCTCCCTACTCACCCCCCGTTGTCCTTCCACTCTCCTGGAACTTCTTCTCACCCTCCTCGCTCCCGCCGCCCCCCTTCGATCGCCTTCCATCGCTCCCGCCGCCGCTGCGCCGCCCCCGCGCGCCCCCTCCTCGCCCGTCCGATCCCATTTCCGCCCGCCCTTCCCTCGCCTCACTTCCGCCCTCTTTCCCCCCCCAATGCATCGGCGGGCGAGACGTCGCCAAATTGCTGCAGCGACGGACCGATGTTCAAAATCTGACGGGGCGTGCGCTTGAAATGGATTAGTCCGCGCGCGCTGCATCTCCATGTCGTCTATTGGTCTCCTCGCGTTCGTTGTTCTCACGTGTGTGTCTCGCTATTTCTACGATTGCCGCGCGCATCCCTTGATTGTTTCGCCAGCGGGCCGTGCAGTTCACATGCCGTCAGGAGCCCGCGGCGCCCTTCGAGCGATTCGCGCGCGACCTGCGCGCGACGCGCGAACGGCCCGAGCGACGCCCGTGCGACGCACGCGCGACGCGCGCGCGACGCGCGCGCGACGCACCCCGACCCGCGCGCGACGCACCCCTGCCAGCGCGCGACGCACGATCGACCCGCGCGACGCACGCGCGACGCGCGCGCCACGCGCGCGACGCACGCGCGACGCACGCGCGACGCACGCGCGACGCACGCGCGACGCACGCGCGACGCACGCGCGACGCATGCGCGACGCAGTCGCGACTTTGCCCGCCCCTAGCATGTCTCCGAGCAGCAATGCGCAACGGCCGTCGGCCCGCCGTGCTTGCGCTGTTCACAAGTGGCGGCGGCTGCGTCCTCTATTGCGCCAGGAAGGGCGGCGCTTGCCCCTGTTAGTTCCCTTTCTCTTAGTCGTCGTCCCTCCTCTTTTGTCATTCCTCCTCCTTCGTCCTCTCTCCTGCCTCGTCTCCCTCTCTCCTCCCCTTCTCCTCCTCCATTCTGCCGGCCACCCTCTGTCTGTCCCTCCCCCCTGTTCTCTCGTCTTGGTGTTTTTTCCCCTTGCCGCCCCGTGCCCCTCTTCATTTTCTGTTCTCCTTCGGCCCCCCTTCCACGGCCGCGGCGCGTCGCCGCGAGCGGCGCCCCCGCCCTCCGCCAACGGCCCCGCCGCCGGCGGTGGCAGAGGAAGATTACGAGGAGAAAAGGAGGGGGGAGGGGCAGGGGCGCGAGGCGGGCGCGGCGGCAAGGGCGGCCCAGCAGGGGAATGGGGGGGAGGGGGGGGAGGACGGAGTGGGCGGGTGCTTCTGTAATGGTCATGTTGGTGATCATGGTCGTGGTCGCGTTCGTCGCCTTGGTCGCGTCGGCGGCGGTCGCGCCGCCGGTGGTGGGCGGGCTGGTGGTGGTCACGTCGGTGATCGTGCTGGTGTCGGTCGTTGTGGCGGTCGCGAGAAACGTGGTGGTCGTGGTGGTGGTGATGGCGGTAATTGGTGTTGGTCGTTATCGTCGCGGTGGATGTGGTTGCGGTCGCATCCGTTTGTGGTGATCGTGGCGGCGGTAGTTTTGTGCTGGCGGCGGTTGCGGCGGTTGTGGCGGCGGCTGCGGGGACCTGCTGGCCTATCGCCGGGCTGCGTTCAGCAGCGTCGCTGCATGTGTAATGTTAGGGGATTTGCTGATCTGCCGAGGTCGCCCAGCGGCCGCCTTTTTCTCGCCAAGAGGGCCGCAGCGTGGGCGACTTTCTGTTTCCAGAAGGCGACGAGCCTTTTCAGCGGCCGTGGAGAGGGCGACGCGCGTGCGATCCGCCCCGTGGGCGTCCGCCGCGCTGGCGACGCACTCACCAAATTGCCCCCTTGCGAGGGCGACGTGCACGTTCGAGAGGACGGCTGGCCATTTCGGCGGCCGACGCACGGGCGGCGCACGGGCGACGAATGCGCGACGCACCTCCTGTCGCGAAGGGGGGGGGGGTCAGCACGCCGGTCGCTTTACTGGGCCTCAACACCCGATAAGCAGCGTTTACCAAACTGCCCTCGGTGTCTACCAAACAGCCCTGCCCTGCTCGATGCCTCCTTCGGGGGTGCGTTCGCTAAACGGCCTCGCTTGTCGGGGTGGTCATTCTGGGGGTGGATGTTCTGCTCACTGTTATTCAGGAGGGAGAAAACACAGACACAATGGATCGTCGACTCCCAGGAACACAGGGGGAAATATGGGAAGTGGGGGGGAAGGCACACACCCAGAAAATATGGGAACACATGGGGAATCCTGCTGTTTGTGTGTGTGTGTGTGTGTGTGTGTGTGTGTGTGTGTGTGTGTGTGTGTGTGTGTGTGTGTGTGTGTGCGTGTGTGCGTGTGTGCGTGTGTGCGTGCATTCACTTGTGTGTCCCAGGGCCCCTCCCGTGATCTGCGCCCGATCTCGTCCTCGGCCTCGTGTCTTGTGGGGGGGGGTCCGACCGCGCGTGCACGGGGAGGCCCCGGCGCGTGCGCACAGGACAGCCCGGCCCCCCCCTCCGGGTGCAGTCCCGGCTGGCCTCGGCGGGCCCCCCGAGCGCAGGGATCAAACGACGCGAAGATCGGGACAAAATCGGATCGGGATAACTCGAAATCTCTGAGAATCGGCGGGTTTGGAGGATGTATTGGGTGCCGCGGCCGCTCCAGAGCGTTCCGGAACGCTCTGAGAGCGCTTTGGAACGCTCTGGAGCGATTTATCCCGATCCTAGCCCTGTTTTAAGGGAGCGGCCTGCACAGGGAACACCGCTTCTTCGAAAGGGGCTCGGCCGTGCCTCGGGTTGGCATGCGTTGTCTATCGCTCCTCGTGCGCTGCTTCTGCTCCATCGTTCCCTGTGTGCTGCTCCCTGGAGAAGGAGCGGCGTTCCTCAGGCGCTCTTCCTTCTGTCTCGTTCCCTGTGTGCTATTCCCTGGGCCCACAAAAACGGGCTTCGCTCCTCATTCCTCTCGTTCCTTCGGCCAGGCCGACGACTGTAGTCCCGGCTGGCCTCGGCAGGCCCCCCGATGTTAGCCTGGGGCGGTCTCAACACCCTGGCGCCGCCTCTGGCGGGCCCCCTGCCCCGGACTTCTCGGTGGGCCCGTGGAGGCCCGCCGGGCCCACCTCGTGATCGTGTTTTTCTCTCTGCACTGTTCTGCCGATGGGCGCGGGCCCCCAAACCGCCCCTCCCCCCCCCACGGAGCAGATCTTGGCTGTTTTGGGCGCCTGTTTCGAGCAGGTGGAGTCTCCCCTCATGGGGCCCACTGCTGCAAGCCGTCGCACCAAGCAGAGGTCGTCCGGAGCCCCCCCTCTCCCCTCCCTCCCTTCCGCCCAGTGTCGAAACGCCAAATAAAAAACGCTCACACTCAGAATAGAAAAGGGTACCAATACCTCTACCCTCCGCTCGTTTTCCCCGTTTTGGGCCTCCTGGGCGGCCCTCGTCGCAACGGCTGGATTCGCCTCGAAACACGGGCCAGAACGCACCCTTGGGAGAGGTCCGTTCCGGGGAGTAAGTTAGCGGTATCGGTACCTGTTGCTCTCTCCGTACCTGAGGCGGTCCGAAAAGGGCCTCGATTTCGAGGATCGAAGGAGTTGCCATCCCTTCTTCGGCGGAAGGCTGCGGAACGGCGGCGGAAGCCAGCGGAAGCAAACATCAGGAGGGAAAGACACACATACACAATTAATCAACGAGTCCCAGAAAAATATGGGAAGTGGAGGGGAAGACGAAAACCCAGAAAATATAGACAAATATGGGGAGTCCTGGGATTTGTGTGTATGTATTTGTGTGTCCTTGGGCCCCTTGAAAAAGGCGATTTCCCAAGGTCTCATCCGGCTCGATCCAGCCTCATCTGGCCTCATCCGGCCTCATCTGGCTCGATCCAGCTTGTCCGGCTCATTCGGGCTTGGTCTGGCTTCATCCCGCTTTTCATCCGCAGCCTAGTCCTGCGTATAGGGGGCCGCATGTGAACCCTACCCCTACCCCCCACGATTTCTGAGGGGAGGGTGGGTTCACTTCGCTCGGGAGCTCCCGAACGAAGTGAGCCCCACCCTCCCCCTCGGAAATCGTGCGGGGTAGGGGTAGGGTTCACATGCGGCCCCTTAGAGGAGCAGCCCCCCACCAGTGGGGCTCCATTCTTTGAACCCTTCCGGCGGTGGCCTCCGAAAACAGCCGGAGAAGAAGAGAACACGCCATGGCACACCAGCTCGTGGCGCTCCGCGCGGCTTTCTTGGATCCGCGCTGGGGCCCTCCGTGGCGCGGGGGTTCACCACCCACCAAACCACCCCAACCCAACCCGAAGGCTCAGATTTACCCTCGATTTCTAGTGGGGGGGGCTCCGGGAACATCGAAAAATTGCATATGGAGCCCATACCCCCCCAACCCGAAATTCGGGTCTTCGGGTTGGGTTGGGGTGGTCTGGTAGGTAGTCAGGGGTCCGGCGCAGATCCAGGGCATGCGCTCGGAGCGCCACAAGTTTAGGTTTCTGCGTGTTTTTTATGGCGGCTTTCCTTCTCGGAAGCTGGCCTCGGTCGCTCTGGCGTGCAGCCGAGGCGAAGAGACACCGCTGCCGCTGCCCGCCTTCCCCCCCCCCTCTCGTTCTCGCCTCTCTGGACCCCCTGGGCCGCCCGGGCCGCCACGGCGAAATGTCGGAGGGAAGGGCAGCGGCGCCACCACCAGCAGAGGCGCCACCTCCCGCGAGGAGGTCCACGATGCCTCCCCGAGCTGGGGATCGGGGATGTGTCTCTCACCACCCACCAAGCCACCCTAACCCAACCCGAAGGCCCAAATGTACCTTCGATTTCCAGTGTGGGGGGGTCGGGGCACATCGAAAGAACACATGTGGAACCCGTACCCCCCAGATCAGAAACTTGGGTCTTCGGGGTAGGTTGGGGTGGTCTGGTAGGTAGTCAGTCTCGAGCGGGAAGGGGAGGGCGGTGGTGGTGGTGGGCGCCACCTTTCCCTGCTTCTGCGAGCTCGCCCCTGGGATCCTGGCCAGAGCGCGCCCCGGGAGAGGCCCGGGGAGCAGGGGATGCATCGGCACCTTTCTTGATTCCCGCCAGGCCCGGTCCCAGAGCCCCAGTGGGGTCTTCAACGACCTGCTCAAGATCTTCCTCTCCTTCGTCTCGGCGGCGACGGTGGCCACGGGCACCCTCAGGGGGGGGGTAGGCTCAGGGGGGGCGCGTGGACCTCCGATCGCCCACTGACCGCCGATCCGGGCCCAAGAGAGCCCCACTCCGCTCAAGGGCGTGGGGTTCTGCTGCTGGGGGCATGGCGCCGATCTATCGGCGAGGCACCGCCGATTCCAGGTCGATTTCCTCCCCCCCCCCCGAGCCAGCGACCCCTCCCCCTGACGCTTCCCCCTCAGGTGGTTATGGGGGCCGTGCTGGCGAGCGACTCCTACCAGACGCTCCCCGCGCTGCCGCAGCAGTTCCTGAGCCTCGGGGGCGACTCCGTGGAGAGCTCGGCCACCTATCCCAGAGGCCTGCCGCGGTGCCGCCCGCCTCCTCCTCCCCCCAGAGGGAGGGGTTGCGATGCTCTCCATCTGCTCCTGCGCCTCCGGGAGGGTGAAGAGGAGGAGGGTAAAGAGGAGGGGGAGGGGGAGGGGGAGGGAGGGGGGGAAGAGGGAAGAGGAGGAGGGCAAAGAGGAGGGGGGATGAGGAAGACGAGGACGAGGAGGAGGAGGAGGAGGAGGAGGAGGAGGAGGAGGAGGAGGAGGAGGCGCAGGGGTAGGCTGAGCAGCAGGAGAATGCGGGAGGGACGGGGGCGGAGACCCAGCAGGGATGGCCAGGGAGGACCAGCAGATATGACGATGATGATGATGATGATGATGATGATGATGATGATGATGATGATGATGATGATGATGATGATGATGATGATGATGATGATGATGATGATGATGATGATGATGATGATGATGATGATGATGATGATGATGATGATGATGATGCTGATGATGATGCTGCTGCTGATGATGATGATGATGATGATGATGATGATGATGATGCTGCTGATGATGATGACGATGATGACGATGATGACGATGCTGCTGATGCTGATGAAGATGATGCTGATGCTGATGATGCTGCTGATGATGATGATGATGATGATGATGATGATGATGATGATGATGATGATGATGATGATGATGATGTGATGATGATGATGATGATGATGATGATGATGATGATGATGATGATGATGATGATGATGATGATGATGATGATGATGATGATGATGATGATGATGATGCAGACGTTGATGCTCATGCTGATGTTGATGATGCTGCTGCTGATGATGCTGATTCTGATGATGATGCTGATGCTGATTATGATGATGCTGCTGATGCTGCTGATGATGATGCTGATGCTGATGCTGATGCTGCTGCTGATGATGATGATGATGATGATGATGATGATGATGATGATGATGATGATGATGCTGATCATGTCAATGATGATACTGCTGATGCTGCTGATGCTGCTGATGATGCTGCTGCTGCTGATGATGATGATGATGATGATGATGATGATGATGATGATGGTGGTAGCGATGGCGATGATGGTGATGGTGATGAAGGTGAGGGGGAGGAGGATGAGGAGGAGGAGGAGGACGAGGAGGAGGAGGAGGAGGAGGACAAATAATACTAATACTACTAATAATATTAGGAATAAGAAGAATACGACTAATACAACAAGAATACTAATACTACTAATAACAAGAATAATACGAGGAAGACAAAGAGGAGGATGAGGAGGACGAGGAGGAGGGCGGGTGAGGGGGAATGGCAGGAGTCTCGGACATTCTCGGTCGCTCTCGTGGGGACCTCCAGCGGCCTTCCCACGCCGAAGACATCTTTTTACGTGCGAGTCAACTCTTTTACCGAAGACGCCTACGGCTAACCACTGCGCCCCTGGCGTTTTGGAGCGCCTACATTGCCAAACGTTGGCCCAATGCCTGGCCACGCTATTGGACCATGTGTTCCCCTAGCCAGTGTGGAAACCCTTGGGGTGACGTTTGGGGTGGGAGAACATGGGGATGATTGAGCTCTCTTGGGCCGTCATTCGGGCATGGTGGGGGCCGCCTTGGGGCCACCTTGGGCCGTACTGGAGCCATCTCCGACCGTCTCGAGCCATCTTGGCGCCATCTTGGGCCGTCTTGGATGCCTCTTTAGGCCGTGTTCGGGGCCATCTTTGCAATCTTGCAGGCGCGTTCTCTCGATTTCATGGGTTTCCTGGGTGGCCGGCTGGATGGGCCGAGATTCCGTTGGGAACCTGTTTGATCACGCAAGAAACCACCGTATCCGGCAGTTCTGGACGTGTATTCTCAGTTTTTTTCTGTTGTTTTGGATTTGCGGTTGTTGTTGGCAAGCGTTTCTCTTTCACATTCAGTGTTTGCACTGTCTGGCCCTTCCGACAGTGTTGGAAGGACCAAACAGAGCCCGACACTTTGCCACGCCAAGCGCCCCCTTGCAAGCAACAAGGGGCGGCAGGTCGAAGGCGCCTACGGCGAACCACCGCCGCCCCATGGCTTTTGGAAACACCTGTGTGGCTCAACGTTCAGGCGAGCGTTTTTTATTCATTCTTTTGCCGATCGGCGCGGGCCCTCGCACCCCCCCTCGCCCCTCCATGGAGTGAATCTTGGCTGTTTTTGGCGCCTGTTTCGAGCGGGTGGAGTCTCCCCCAAAGGCCGCACTCCAGCAAACAGTCGCACTAAGCAGAGGTCTGGAGCCAGTCCCCCTCCTCCCCCGCCCTTTCCGCCCAGTGTCGAAACGCCGAATAAGAAAACGCCCACCAGCCGAAAGTATGCCGAGCTATTGGACTGCGTGTTCCCCTAGCCGGTGTGGAAACCCTTGGGGAAACCCTTGTGGGAGGACCAGAGAGGAGGACGAGGATATGGAGGTTCAGGATGGCGAAACTGAGGGCTCTTCGGGGCCTCTTGGGGCCTCGCGGGGGCCTCGCGGGGGCCCCCACGGACCATTGGGAGCCTCTCGGGGGCATTCTGGGGGCACGTTGGGGGTCTCTGGGTGCCTCTAAGGGGACTCTTGGCCTTCGGAGGCCATGTTTTACGCCTGGGGGGGGTTTGGGGCCGTCTTGGGGCTATCTTGAAGGCCTTTTGGGCCGTCTTCGGATGCCGGAAGCCCGAGATGGCGAGAACGCGAAAACGATTGATTTACCTCAGGGACAAAGAGTGCTCACTCACAACCCAAGCATGCAACGCACCCGTTTGCAGTCAACAGGTGCGGCGGATCTAGTTGCCTTTGGCCCGGCCCGCCACCGTTCATGGGTTGTGGATCATGGGCCTCTTGCGTGCGTGCCTCTTGAGTCTCTTGGGATGCCTCTTGGCGGTCTCTTGGAGGGCTCTTGGGGAGCCTCTCGGGGGCCTCTTGGGAGCATCGTGGGGGCCTCCTGGCGGCCTCTTGGGGGCCTCCTGGGGCCTCTCGCGGCACCGCCTCGAGGGACAGGGCTGGAAATGCTAGTTCGTGTTGGGTCGGGCCTGTCCCTCTACAGGGGGAGTATTGCAACAATAAATAGTCTGGGGAAGATTTTCAAGATTTTTGACTACTGTTGATTTTTGAAGATCTCTTGCACAGGGTGTCTAGAGCTCCGACAACTTGATTCCGACACGGTACCTCCATCGCCCACCCGTTCCACCAGCCAGCGCGCCCCCAGCGCGCCCCCAACTCCCTCACCCCATCCCCCCACCCACCAGCCAGCGCGCCCCCTCCGCCCCGACCCTTTTATTTCGGCACGGCCCCCCCCCATCCCACGCGCCCCGTCCGCATCCCCTCCACCAACCAGCCAGCGCGCCCCCTCCGCCCCGACTCTTTATTTCGGCACGGTACCCCCCGCCCACCCAGACCACCGCCCACCCATTCCACCAGCCAGCGCGCCCCCTCCGCCCCGACCCTTTTAGTTCGGTACGGCAGCCCCGCCCCATCCCGCGCGCCCCCTCCGCGCTCCCCCCCCCCCCCCACCAGCCAGAGCGCCCCCTCCGCCCCGATCCCTTTATTTCGGCACGGCACGCCCCCCCCCCCCCCATCCCACGCGCTCCACCTCCGCATCCCCCTACCCACCAGCCAGCGCGCCTCCTCCGCCCCGACCCTTTTTCATTTCGGCACGGCACCCCCCCCACCCACCCAGACCACCATCCCTCCACCTGCCAGCCAGCGCGCCCCCTTCGCCCCGACCCTCTTATTTTTGCACGGCGCGCCCCCATCCCGCGCGCCCCCCTGCGCATCCCACACCCACCAGCCAGCGCGCCCCCTCCGCCCGACCCTTTATTTGGGCACGCCCCCCCCCAGCCCACACAACCATCCCCCCACCCACCAGCCAGAGCGCCCCCCTCCGCCCCGACCCTCCTAATCCGTACGCCCCCCCCCTCATCCACGCGCCTCCCCGCATCCCCCACCCACCAGCCAGCGCGGCCCACCTCCGCCCCGACCCTTGTATTTCGGCACGGCACTCCCCCCCATCCCGCGCGCCCCCTCCGCCTCCACCCCGCCCCACCAGCACGCGCCCCCTCCGCCCCGACCCGTTTCCTTCGGCACGGCACCCCCCCCATCCACGCGCCCCCCTCATTCTCCCCACCCACCAGCCGCGTCCCGCCACCCACCTGCCAGCGCGCCCCTCCGCCCCCGACCCTTTCATTTCGGCACGGCACTCCTCCTCCCAATCCCCCACTCTCCCTCCAGATCCCCCCACCCCCAGCCAGGAAGCGCCGCCCCTCTGCCCGACCCTTTTATTTGGCACGGCACCTCCCCCATCCCGCGCGCCCTCTCCGCCCCGTCCCTTTACTTCGGCGCGGCACCGCCCCCCATCCCGCGCGCCCCCCCTCCGTATCTCCCCCACCCACCAGCCAGAGCGCCCCCTCCGCCCGAACCTTTTATTTCGCACCGGCAATCCCCCCCTATCCCGCGCCCCCTCCGCGCTCCCACCCTCCCACCAGCCAGCGCGCCCCCTCCGCCCCGACCCCCCTTTCATTTCGGCACGCCCCCCCCCATCCCGCGCTCCACCTCCGCATCGCCCCGACCACCAGCCAGCGCGCTCCCTCCGCCCCGACCTGTTTATTTCGGCGCGGCACCGCCCTGCCCCCCCCATCCCGCACGCCCCCTCCGCATCGCCGCACCCACCAGCCAGCGCGCCCACGCCGCCCCGACCCCTCGGCCCCGCCCCGCCCCCCATCCCGAACGCCCCTCTGCATCACCCCGCCCGCCAGCCAACGCGCCCCCTCCGCCCCGACTCCTTCATTTTGGTTTAGCGCCCCCTCCCCCATCCCGAACGCCACCTCCATCGCGCAATCCACCAGCCAGCGCACCCGCTCCGCCCCGACCCTTTTATTTCGGCACAGCACCGCTCCCCTCCCATCCCGCGCGCACTCGCCGAATCCCCCCACCCACCAGCCAGAGCGCCCCCTTCGCCCCGATCCCTTTATTTCGGCACGGCACCGCCCCACCCCATCCCGCGCGCATCTTCCGCAC